TAATGTGGTGGATCTGCTGTTCAATTACACAAAGCAGCACCACTGTGTTTGAACTGTTTATACAATGACACTATGTATTTACCTAAAACTGTGCTGGACTTCTCTGCTGAATATCAGAATACATGAGAGAAAAATACAATGACTCACTTCATCGTTCTTTTGTCGAGATTTTTCTTCCCATTTACTGTAACTTTCTTTTAGCTGGAGCTTTTGGAGAATGTGTATTGGTTTTGTTTTCCACTATTAATTGAAATCTCTCCAGAAGTCTTAGTTTTATTTTTACATTCATCCTACTTGCAACTTCTCTCTGTCTGACATACCTGTCTTTTTTTCCACCCACCCTCTTCCAAACAGGATCTCTTATTTGCTCTTACCATTGCTATACAAGTGGCTTAATAAGTACTTTTAAAAAGCTATGCAGTCACTAAAAACACCAGGGCTGGCAGGCTGAGGAGCTCGGAGGGCTACCAGCATGTGGTATGGGGGATGCAGGGCTGGGATTCCATCCTAAGTCATGCTGAATGGGAAAAATCCAACTGAGGGACAACTGAGGAAAGCTTTGTTTGTCTGCAGTTCAGGAAAGGCTACAAAGGCTTGGAAGGGAGCATCTTGTAAAGAGTACATTTCTAGCATCCATTAATTCAAAAATGTGAAGAGCCATTCTTTTGTGAAGAATGTTAGAGAGAAATAACTAATACAGGATATCCTCAGAAGCACCCACTAAGTTACAAGTAAACTATTCAGGAGACAGGCATGCCATGTCTGCAATTCCATTTCTGACTCTTTGTAAAAAGAAGCTAAAATCACAGTTGGCAACAGTTCTGAAATGCAACAGTAATCCATAAATACTCCTTAATTTTCCTGTCACTGCAGAATTAAGCTACTTCCAGCTCACACAGATCTTACCAGGTGTGCTAAATTGATGTCATTATAAGCCATCAGGAAATACCCACAGAGACCTGTAGCAACATTTAGAAGTTTTGTTAAACAGCTGTGTGTTATAATTGATTTGTATTATTTAAAACAGCTAAAGCAAGTTATCGCCGGATGTAGAAAAGGGATGACTGAAGACTCCAGGGAGATTTAACTCAGAAGAAAGCCAATCATGGGAACTTCATTTGAGCATTTTAAGATTATTACTAGAGGAAGTGCAATTAAATCATCACCATTTATCAATTATCATTATAAAATACTATGCAACCTTATCATGCTAATTTATTTATGAGAAGGTAACTAGTTGACTTCTGCTTTTTGCAATAAAAACAATATAGTCAGTAAAAATATTTGCAGACGCTTTCTCTGAAAATGAACATGACTTTCCACAATAATCAAAAGTAACTAAAAAACTTCAAATTTTACCTAAAATTTGGTTTTGCTAAAAAGCTAAACTCCTTGGAGCTCAGGCAGTGTCTCAGTTCCTGATCTCAGATATATTTACTATATAGACTATAAGCCAAAATATAGTTGCATCAAAAATACTCACAGGCATAGCACCCACATTTCATAAAATGCATGGAATGTAAGTCCCAAGTGATGAGTGTGAGATTCTGGATCTGGGAGAAAAAAGGCAGCACGACTTTCTAATCTGCCAACCATTGAATCAAATTGCAAAATCAGCCCTTGTTAAAAGCTAAGTAACATTATGCGTGGACAGTGGTAATCTGTATTTCTCTTCCCAATGGTGGACTGCTGGTCGAATTTAAAATTTTCATCTGTTTTGGAGCAAAATCCTAAACCTTTTCTCTCTGCTGTTGATGTGTATTGAGAGTTCAAGCCTGATTTGGTGAGCTTGCCCAGTGACTTGCATTACACGATCCGTGTCCCTGCAGGCAAAGCCTAACCCACATAACAAAATGGGTCAGCAGAAAAGCAGAAAGGGAAGAGAAAACTCTGTATTTCAGTGCAGAACCCTGATTCATTTCAGGGGGAAAAACACACTTTTTCTTGTAGATCTAACTCTTGCTTTGATCTGAGGCTCGCAGGCTGCTGCTTACAGTATGGTTTTATTATCTTTCATAATTCCTTTGAGAATACTCTGATTTTTACTGCTGTTTTATAGTTGGACTGGCATATGCATCTCGCAGTTTACAAGGGGAAGTGTTTGTTGCACCAGTGGTTGCTGGCACTGAAAACACGATGGTGTTGATGCTGCTGATTGTGCTGGTGCTTTCCTCTGCTCTGATTCTGCTCCAGAGAGGTGCTCGTCCACAGACCGTGCCTTCCTCTTGTCATCCGTTTGACTGAACGACCATCAGCAACTGCATCCTCACTGCCCGCTGCCTTTCTGCTTTCATCTAAAATTAAAACTCTAGACCTCTTAAAACTGCTTTCCCGCAGGCTCGCTCTCTCCCAGCCATGTGGGAAAGCACATTTCCAACCCAGGAATGCAGCTGGGGCCTTTGGACAAAATTCAGTGCGGAGGTAAAGCAGGCTAAACTCACTGAAGCCAGTGGAATCCAATGGCCTCGAGACACAGGTACACGGTGTTGTGGGAGAAGGTGTACATACAAATGGTGCAGAAATAAAAGTAAAGTAATTCTGAATTATAGAGTGGGATTGCTGGAGCATCTCGACTTCTCTGGCTTCTGCCCCCTGCCAGCTCTTCCAGTATTGTGCTACCAGCCTGAGGTATAGCATGTATTACTCTAGAATAAACAGTTTAACCCAGTTAAATGGCTTCAAGATGGAGGGGAACAGATTTAGATTGGAGATTAGGAGAGGGTTCTTTACTGTGAGGGTGGTGGAGCACTGGAACAGGTTGCCCAGGGAGGTGGTTGAGGCCCCATCCCTGGAGATATTCAAGGTGAGGCTTGATGAGGCCCTGGGCAACCTAGTCTAGTTGGGGGTGTCCCTGCTGACTGCGGGGGTCGGACTAGATGACCTTTGGAGGTCCCTTCTGGCCTGGGCAATTCTATGATTCTATGATTCTATAATCTTATTTAATGGAAAGTCACCTTGATGTTACGTTCAATAGTATTTTGCTGCTATAACTTTACCCCTTCCTCCAAAATGTTTTTCCTGACATCTGTGTGTGTGTTTGTCACTGGACCCACACTGGCTGAACCGCCCCTGGAGAGGTGTCACAGAGACAGCAGGTTCAGCACTCCACATGTTTTACCACCCATAAAACCTGTTCCTGCAAGCCTTTGTGTGTACATATCTCACATGCATCTCTGGTTATTAGATGCAGGACAGTTTTACTTTACTGTTCCTTAAGAGGCAAAAATAACGTCTGGGTGGGAATGACCAGGTTTTCCTTTTGTCCTCCACCACTCTGATTTTACACATTCCAAACATACTGTTTATGCTTTATTCTCAGTAGCATTGCATTATGATTTATTACCTATACAGAGCTGCAGGTTCTTGCAGCGCTTTGCAGACAAACAGAAAGAGACTGGGGTTTACGGAGGAGCTTGAACGTGGCTTCAGGCCCCAGCATAGTGTGAGGGCAGAGAAGGCCCACCACCTCTGGAGTGCGCGTAGCAGATTGTCCTGGACATTTTTGCAGGTGGGAATATAAACTATCCACAAGCCAGAACAGATCAGCTGGGAAATACCAGAGATGTCAGCCCTAAAGGACACCTAGCATCTGACCACAGGGTTACTAGTCTCTGTCTACAAGAAATGCAAGAAAGTAGATGAAGGGAAGGCAAAGTTAACTGAATCCTCTGCCTCCCTATGCAGAAATACTCACGGTTTAGCTACGAATCTGAAACTTCAGTTATAAATCAGAAAACTTTACTGAGAAATCTGAAGTGCAATACTTCCCTGCGCACAAAAACAGTTATCTGCTGCCATATTACATTATTTTATCAAAACCACTTCTCATCTTCATTTTGCAGTAAAGAAGTCAGGCAATACTTGCAATATGTAAAAGAGAATATGTATTACGAGAATCTGCAAACTCACAACTGGAATTCAAACGTGGACAGCAAACACCCAAAAACCAATGCTTGTTAGGTTCTCAGAGAACTATTGCAATATAAATAGTAGTCCATGGCTGCAAAAACATGAATGCTGCTTATGTTCCTTCCATGATTGAGTACCATCTACAAAGAGGCATCCTGTAATGACATTGCATTAGTTGAATTAAGGAAACCCATGTACAGCTCAGTTGAGGTTGCATCCCTGTTGTGCCAGCTGCTGTGGTAAGAGACCTGTGTACCTGGAAACAGCTGAAATCAAGAAGTCAAGGAAGGAAAGGGGAGGAAGAAAGGACACATTAGTATCTTTTTCTGATGATAAAAATTTACACCTGGGGGAGTTTCCATTCTTTGTCCAAACTTGCACTGGAGGCCTGGAGCTGAGGGAATAAACCAGAGCCACCAACTCATATAAAGCATATCTCACTCCTCCTTGAACAAGTGTGACTGTTTTCCAGAGAGCAAGTCTCGGAACAGTTGCTGAAATGATGTGGTGACTTTAAAACCACTTTAAATAAAAGTGATTTGAATAGCTCTAAAAGAAGTCAGTGATATCACAGTTTACTAATCTGCTTCCTCTTGTAAAACATGGCATTCATTAACTACTGATTCTTAAGGACATTAGTCAGCAATAACATTATTTGATTGAGAGACCAATTTTCTTTCCTTCAATCCTAAGGATTGCAAGTCTATTTAAAATTGAAAATTACACAGTCTTTTTTGGTAATTTGATTAATACACAATATGCAAAATGTTACACTGATATATTTTACTTATATAAATAAATCTACTTTTGTATTTACCCAAATCCATGATTACTCAGAAATTGCCTGAAGTTTTCAGGATTGGCTTTGGAGAAGCATTTTAATTGAGAGATAAACGAGAGATAAGTCTTACATGATGAACACCTATATACCCCTCAAAATCCACGACTAAAACTATTGTTGGCAACTGGCTCGGCACAACCTCAGTTCGACTTTTGTTTGTTTCACTTGTGTCCAGGAGGGGAATAAGGCCATTGAGGATTCAAGCATATATTGCATTCATTAATTTTGTAAAGGACCAGTGGTTTCTCACCTGCTGCGTAATAGTGTCCCAGGGCCCCTCCAGCAGACGAGCCTGGTAGCATGCATGAACACTCTTCCATATTTCATCCAGAGTTAAAGGTCTTCCATCTGTGAGGGGGGGGGGGAAACAACCGCCCACAGTCAAAGCTCTTAAGCGTGCTATATCTTTAATACTGAATAGCAAACGTAAATCTGAAACTACACAAGTAAATCTGGAAGCAGATGGAAAAAATAACAGCAAAACGTGACTAAGCCCCTTCTGGCCCCGTAACTCCAAAAGAGTGTTGCTCAAATCCTGACTGAAGTTGCCTATAAAACTATCTTAAATTCCCTGTTCACCTCTCATCTCTGTCACCTGAGAGTAAAAACTTACTGTTCTGGTTGCAAGGGGTGAAGTTAAACTAATTTTGTAAAACAACATTTGGAAAAGATTTAAAAATGTAAAATCACAGAATAATATACATAATGAAGAATTATCTCAAGGAAATGCGCACAATTCATAGTGAGAGTGTGGAAAAAAAATCTAAGTAATATAATTCTGCACACAAAATTTTACTTAGCTTTGGTAACCTACATGCCCATAATTTGTTCTTGAGCTGCATCTATATAGCATTATTGCATCAGGTTTTTCGTTATGATGTTAGAATTATGCCAAGATATTAGTGTCAACCACAAAGGAAATAAGCATGTCAATTTTTCCTGAATATTTGGTTTTGGCAAACAGCAATAGAATATTTTGATATACTTTCAATAAGTAGCTTCATCTTGGCATTTATTAGGTGTCAGAAACCATTATCCTGTGATAAACAGTTTTATTCTACTGACATTTTCATGTCTGTAAAATGAACAAGATTTATTCACCCAATTAACATTTGAATGCCATGTTTAGATACAAGTTAAAACCAGCTGCCTAGAGCCTCTGTTTTATCTTATTTTCTGCACATATTTATAAAAAAAAAAAAAAAAAGGAACTGAACTTATATAAGCACCATACAGCAGAAGCATGTGGCAAATAAAGTGTCTGAGAGGGCAACAGCATATTAACTGCCTATACTGTGCTGTCCTCACGAAGGTGGGACTTGTGAGACCGCCCTGCTCTCTGTCTTAGGACAGCAGATATGAGAGCTGTGCTGGAGACGGTCTAACATTTGCTAAGAAATCTGCTACAAGAGCATAAGTTAACTTTAGAAGGATGTATTTATGCTCAGATCATCTGTGTGCAGGTAAGACGAGATGCCGTGCTCGCTTGCAATTTTCTGTTTTCTATTCAACCTGTGAAGACAATCCAGAGAAAGTCCAAATGTAAAATCTAGAAAAACACAGGTTCTAATGCAAAACTTGATTTGCCACTCTAGATTTTGTTCTGTACGCCTTTCTTTGTATCTGTGAATTTTTATGGCAACACTTGAGCAAATTCAGATCGTAGACATGGAATGGATTACTCTGACTCTAACCATTAATCTCATTTACAGAAACGATCAATTATTGAAGCATTAATCATATTATAGTTAAAATTGAGTTTTGCCTTTACCTCATGGATTTTATTACTTCATGTATGAAAAGCAGTATATCTTCCATCATATTTCCATACTGATTTATGTTCATTTCACAGAAAAATACAAATATATCCAAACCGAAAGTTAGACTTCACATGGGAGGGAGATCACAGGCAGTAAAATACTTAAATGGTTAATACAGAGTAATTCCAATGTTTCACATAGAAACAAAAATTAATCTGGGCATTCTGACTTATATATTGAAATATGCTTGGATTTACGTTTCCCTAGATTCTGAATTTTCTGTACTATTTTAATATATTTCACTAAGCTTTAAACGTGTTTTTTAAACTGAGTAAGACTTCATACATACTCCCAAATAGTGTCTTACTGTAAATACTTATTTAACTGACTAGCTCAGAAGATGGGAGAGCAGATGCAGGAAGTTATCAGTACTTAAAATGGATGTGAGGTTTAGCTGCACAGCTGGGAACTGCAAGCCCCTTGCAAAAGGAGAGGGGGTGGATGGACAGTTTCCCCATCCTCCTTTGTGGGATGAAGACCTGAAAGTCTATTGAAAGAGTCTTGTCTCTCAACAAAATAAAGTAAAATAAAATAAAACAACTACACTAAAATCTTAAAATGACTGACAGAAGGACCCATTACAGAGAATCTATCTGGAGGTGTATTTTATATTTTAAAACTCCTCAGTTTGTATGGTCATCTGCTTAAGATGATATAACAGAATCCATTTTATTCACAAGCTCCCAGATTTGCACAAAACACACATCTGTATTCTTTGGGCACTTTTAGACCTCTTTTTCCAGGGCTGCCAGCATTCACATGTTTAGCAGCCCTGCTACACATTCTTGCAACCCACTGAAACCTCAAATATCCAGCTGGGCTGACAGAGCGGTCCGTAATTGTTGCTGCTGGGCAACAAGGGGCCACGCGGGCACCTGCTGAGCCAGGCAACCCCTCCACTTCTTCCCTCACTCTTACCCGTGATGGAGCCCAACTCTAAAAGTTCAGCCAGAAAAAGAAGGCAACGGCAGCACCGAGCCAAGAGAAGCGGCAGGAGAGGAACGCGGAGGCTTCAGATGCACCCAGCAGTAGGTTTACTCATCACCCACCCACGAGGACACAGCTGCTGAGGTGCCTGCAAGCTTGTCCCAAGCCTTACCCCAAGTCTATCCGGGAGCGGGTGTGCAGGCAGAAGTGGAAGGTTGTGGTTGGATGTACACTCTGTGTAACTCATCTCATTAAATAATCACAGAGAGTGAAAGGAAATAGCTGCTCGTGGGTCACACCAGATTTACTGTACCTTTGCCTGAAGCTCCATGTGTGTAATGCCACCGCTCTGGCACAGGACACATCATCAGTTCATCAGGTTCTTGGAAATGCAATGATACAATAAACTTGACATCCACCCAGCAAGAAAGGCCAAGAGAGCCTGAGAAGTAACCAGCTAAGATATTTGTTGAGAGAAAGGAGATCAAGGATGAAAGTCAAGAACTTCTAAGTACAGGTTCTTTCTCTGCCATTAATTAACTGTGGACTTAAGTCAACTACCTCATCTGCCTTAACAGTCAGGCAAGGACAACTACAGCCTTCCTATCATAAACTCAGATTTCTATTATTTAAACTGTCTAGACTTTAAGAAACTTTTCTAAGAGCTTCCTGATGGTCCATCTGGGATTAACTGATTTGTGTCACCACAAACAAGAAATACCTAAAAAGCAGATGGCTGAGTGTCCCCTCACAGCAGCAAGGTGTGCCACTGAGATGACATATGAGTTGCAGCTCCCAGCTGACTTGGCACCTTAATTTCTGCAAAGAGTAGAAATTCTCTAGGCATACAAGTTTCAGAGAAAAAAATCGGGCTTCCCAAGTTGCTGTATTCTGTATTTGTGATGCATGCTGAGGGCTTTTAATAATTTCTTAATTTCTAATTAAAGGTTATTTGACACTTCTGGTGAAATGGCACCCGAATTGTTTTGAGGCTTCATCCGGGCACACTTTCCAAAGAAACAGTAGGTTTTTGTAGTCTTAAGAAACCACTGCTACAAAAGAAAAAACACCCTTACAGCGTAGGAGAATATCTGGTTATTCAAACTATGCCATTTTCTTTATGTCCAAAGTCACGATGAAACCAGTTCTCTTGGGATATGGTCTTAAGAGGAGCTATTTTTCTGAGAAAGGACACAGTGGTCACGTGGTTGTGAGTTCAGGGAGCAAGTCTGTATTCCGGAAAGCGCATCAGTCAGGCCTAGCATGGTTAAAAACACAGAAATTCATGCCTTCAGGGTTGGAGGAAGTTACATTATCTTACAAGCTCGTTCTTTCTACCCACTGATGAGCATGGCTTTCATTGGCAGGGATTTACCCGTATGTCAGACAGACAGACGTATTTTGAACAGGTCAACTTGAAAATCCCGTTCCTTCTTCCTTTTCTAGAGGAGTTAGGCTGCGGTCCTCATTGTCTCCCATTAGTCCTGCTCCTTCTTTTCAGTGCTTAGCCAGCATTCATGATTCTTTCTCTAGCTTTGTAGGAAAAATAAGAAGAGAACTGTGAGGCAAGCCATTATTTTCTTAACATGCAGGGTGATTCCTGAGTGATGCCCGTGACCGTGTTGCTGCTACCTCACTGTGGGTGCAAGAGGTTTCTGAATGTATGGATTTAGACAATGACAGCTCGGGAAAAGTCCAAAAGTTCCTTGACATCTTAAAGACTAAGGAAAGGGGAAAACACTGATTAAAGAAAGCTTACTGGACCTAGCCCAGCCCATCTGGCTGATGCCAGCATTGAAGGGGAAGGCTAATTGCCTATACCATCTGTCTCTAAGAGGGCTAATTGCTGACATCAGACATCAGCGGGACTCCATGCATTTCTTCAGCTACCTATTTGGTAATCTCAAAAGCCAGAGAAAGAAAGAAGGGCTCCCATTTCTGAAAGGTATGGCATGCATAGGACTGATTTTGGAGAAATGACACCTATTTCTCTGAGACTTTGAGGTATTGAGGACCTCGGTATTGAGCTCCTGACACAGACTGCGACTTCCATAGGTCTGAATTTAGGAAAATATGCCACGTGGGAAGTATCATAAGATAGTGAAAAATGTTTCTTACGTACATATACATAGCCTAAAAATAGCTTTTTGTATCCTATAATGTTCCCAAACATCTTTCCAGACATAGTCATCACACTTAATCATTATTTTCAGCTAAGTATTTGTCCTTGCAGAGAACAAGATCTTCCCTGTACATATATCCCCAGAGACTACCAAAAAACCTTAGATGTCTCTCAAAGCGTTTTATTTCTGTTGCAATTAAGATTTCAAACCCTTACCTTGCACTACCTTACATATAAAAACTCATGTCAGCAAAAAAAGAGGTCTAAACATGAATTCCACAAAATACGTTATTTCATCCAAATTAGACAGCAGCAAGGATAAGGATACAATGCAACTTTTGCCCTTCTGCAGGAAGAATGGATCTGTAATGATTGAGCACAATTGCTAGCAGAGAGGAACGGAAACTGGATGTCCTCAATGACACAAGCTCCTGAAGATGCCAACCATACTGCAGATGACAGCAAAATCTCCCCAGGAACTCTACTGGAAGCACTTTTCCTAGGAGGGACAGTGATAGACCAAGTCAATGAAAACTGGACTTACATATGATGGGAGAAAGGGAGGATTTAACTGTTCTAGAAAAGTTTTTAAAGAGCCCATTTGGAAGAGTAAGATTTGGACAGGCTGGCACCAGCTGCTATTATAACATACAAAGTGAGGAAGTGAATATTGCAAAACAAGCAAAACTACTTAGTCAGGTCGAACAGAAGAATTATTATTTCCTAGGCAGGCCTCGAGGTGTAATGGCCACTTAACATACTGCCAGAGAGGAAGCAGGGCTTTGAATTCAAACTCTGTGCCCTGCTGCTGGGGAAGGCAAGACAGGGCAGGGCTGTGGAAACACTGGAAGGATTATACCTCACCTTCACCACCCGCAGCAAGCTCTAATTAACATGAGGATCAGTATGGACAGGATTCAAGGGAAGCCATGAACAGTTCACAAGAGACTTGTGAGGAACCGATTCTGTTACTTAATCTACAAATAATGGTAGGAATTTAGACTGGGAAATTGATGTAGGTCTCAGAAGATTCTTACCTGATTATTGCAGATGAGGAATGCAGCGAATATTACTAGTTGTCTGAGAAACGAGGTGAGGAGCCTATCACATGAAGACTATTACCTCAAAGCAAAAAAATTCTCAGGGCATTACCTAGTGTTTTCCTAACGCCAGGTTCAGGACAAGACAAAGGATATTTGCTCAGATATCTCAAGTGATTGTGAGTGACTGTCTTCTGCACATTCCTGAAAACCATGTCCATGTTGGGACCTTCAGACAGTGTGGCACAGGTGGGCAAGCAACTTGCAAGGGTGACAGAATTTTTCATTTTCAAAAGTAAGCTATCCATAATGAAAATCAGAGAATACCAGCTGAAAACATTAGAGGAAAAAACATTTATTGCCAGCATTTTGTATCCTTCTCTCTTCAAGAGTCAGAGAATGCTAAATGTTAAAAGAGACTGTTAAATGCTGAAGAGAACCCAGGTGACTTTAGGAATTATCTAAAAAAAGTCCTTGTTTTCCATTGTGGAAAATTCCCAAGAAGTGTTTCAAAACATAATTGTACTAGTAGGAACAATTACAGTTTTGTACTGCAAGGGGAGCTGTTGGCACGCAATACTACCACGGAGCATTAGATCATCCACCAGCTTCTGTAATATCCACTTCCAGCTATAAGGAGTCATGTTTCAACACCTCCGATTCCCTGATGCTGACAAGCTAAACAACTTGTTTTGTCTCTGGGAGCTCTTCTCTGGTGATTAACTGCTTATGGTGAATACTAATTATATGAAAGTACAGTACAGTAGAAATAGTGTCCTATTTCCTCTACCTGCAGCGTCTCCATCCTCTTCAGTACAGACAGTGCACTATTAATTCAGCTAAAACCAAGAAGATGTCATTTTTCAGGACCACAAATAGGTTAATCTGTCTCTTACAGCAAAACTTTCTTTATCTGCCTGTCTGCACAACAAGTTTAAAGGCAAAACATCGCACATTTGTAAATGCCTGTAATAATTCTAGAAATAAATTTGCAGCAGGATGTGTGCAAATGAGTTCTGTTGGTGGTAAAGGCAGAGCAATGTCCCCAATTCCCCACGTCCCAGTTTGAAAATTTACCCCAAATTATCCATTCCTGAAACTGCACCTCAGACTAAAATCTTTCCACCAGGGAGTCTATGAGAATTTGTTCTTCAATTTTAAATCTAAAGTGCCTTTTAAAACGCTAACACTGCAAAATTAGAAACCATTAAACAATATAAGGCAGAGAGTGATTAAATCTACCAAACACATTCAAAGCAGCTTAAGCTACTTTTTAATTAAAAAGGAAAAGATATCACTGGCAACATTCAGACATCTTTATCTAGATAAAGTTAGGAGGTTATTCAAAACACAAAAGATGCTGATGCTACCGTGCAGGAGAGTGGATGAAATGAGTGGAAGATTTCAATCCCTCCGCCCTCGGTAGAGAGTCCTCAGGCAGAGAGGCACGGAGCACAGCCAGTGCTGCAGCGTGATCGCTCTGTGTTTTCTGATTAAATAAGTGACACTAACAGCGGCCTTGGAGGGAGGCTGTGTGTTCCTCCTTCCTTCCTGACAGGATGGCGAGTGAAATCACAGTGGCTGTAGCAATTGAGTAATGGGTGACAAGATGTACGTATCAGGCAGGAAAGAGGATCGGTTAGAGTTTCAAGAGCCAGTGTTAATGGACAGAAAAAGGCAGTACCTTATCGGGATTATTTTATATTTTTTTTAAGCAGCAAACTTGAATAGAAAACGGCACGCACTTTTAAAGGCACATTTAGACCCCAGCCTTGTGGCTCAAATTCAGGGTCCAAAGAAACGGACCCAGTTCTGCTGAAGCACTGCAATTACATCCACTTATTTTGTAGCCAAATTCAAACCTGCAGCTTTAAGTTTTTGTATTCATTTAACGAAAGGAACAAGAAAAATGACCAGCAGTTTTAGTCAACCGCAGGCAAGGTGCCAGGAGCCAAAGATCAGCCTCGTTCAGGCTGAGATGATATCATCTACTCCAAGGTCCTGAAGCTCTGTGTCTGGTGTATTACAAAATTTACTGGTAAACAGCCTCATCTCTTACTTTCTTATTGCAGATGATCGCTGCTCTGTTCCTCAATCTAATACAAAATCTGTGTTTAACATCTATTGCATCCAACATACTTTTATTCTTCCCTTTGTCTAATAGAAGATTGGTCTTACCTAAAAAGCATGCCCTAAAATAAAGCACTGGTACTTGGTAGCTGCTGGAGTACAGGACGTGATATTCATAGCGAATCACTTCTTCTGTTGCACAAACTCCAGCTACTTGAGAATCATCCAAAGACTCCTAAAACAACAAACATGAACACAGTAATACATCAACTTTTTTATTTGCATCAAGGGAAAAGTAATTACTACTATTGTAATAAATTCAATAAATATATAGAACAGAACAGAAATAATGGCAATCACCCCTTTCACAGCACTACTCATTTAAATTCCCAAAGGAATTTCTCAATACTAGCAAGAAAATCACAAAAGTCCAAAACCTATGAAGGCATCCTACAGACTTACTTCCACAAACAGTGAACTATGTGTAGGCATTTGCAGAATTGAGGTCTTTCTACGTGCAGGCTGCTTTTGTAATCAAAAAGACAAGAGCTTTCTAAAATCTTTACGGCACAATGACTGGTACAATAAGGTGACTACAGCTGCCTATTTCCTCATTACCTTTAGTGTAGACCATTTTAAAAATGTATCCTTAAATAATCTGGTTTTGCTTGCCAAAGACAAATCAAATGCATCCATCAAAAATTCTCTGTTCTACTTTTCTTTAAAGGCTTTTTGCCAGAGGTTGTTTTTGCTAATAATACTTCTAAAACTGAGACAATTTTTTTCCTGTTAATGTGCATTTCAGGTGAAAAGTAAAGATTATTGTAGGTTTGAAAGAAATCAGAAGAGATGGATCTTGCTGCACTGAAACATACCCCAGCTGCAGCATAAATTTCCTAACATTTTAGATTAATGTTCAAACAGTCCTAAGTACCCAGATGTTTTGACTTCTCTAAAAACTTTAGATACTCAGCACCTCCAAAAATGGAACCATTACATTAATAACGCCATTAAGATTAAATGTTAGAACAAACTTTCCAAGAAGACACTGTAGGTGTGGACTTGTTCGGTTTTCAAACCCCCAAATTTACATGCATGAACTAAGCAGCCATAATGCCCCACAGGCTGGATGTGTGTTTCAGAACTTGACTAGTAAGCAACTGTGAATATTGGCTTACTCTCTCTGTCCAACCAAAATAAAATAGATTGAACAGGAAAGAAGAACCAGCATCCTTTGAACACTACGCTGGTTTAGCACACAAGAAATACAAAGGTATTTTGCATTTTTATCCCGCATCCTTAATTCAACTCAGCAATGAATAGATCTTTGAAGAGATATAAGAACTGATAAACTACAACAGTAATGACACACAATTTTTTTTGACAGCGCACATAAAAGTGATTTCCCCCAAATTTAATGTATTAGATGCTGCTAAGACACATGGATAGAAGATCACAAATGGAAAGCCCAGACCTTGGGAAGCTACGGACCAAGGTACTGTAAATACATTTTGGGGCATTACATGAGAAAATCGTAGATGCTCGCAGAACAGAACATTTCTGGGAAATTCCGGACAGCTGCAGGTATGGTTGGTTTTAGCTTATCAGGAAAGAGATATCTAAAGCACTGAAAGGGAACGTTAAAGGAAGTGCTCTCTGCGTTAACCTAGTTTTAGAAACTGTACGTGAAGGGATACTCAAGACAACATGCCAGAGGGGACAATGATGATTACTGCATCTGACTTCACGAGCCAGGTAAAGGTACATATGCTGTGCCCAGTTCCCATGTAAATGTGTAACAGACTAAGAAGGCAAATCCTTTTCCTCCTTACACGTCATGCCCTCTTATCAGATGTGAAATAACACACTAAAAAAACCTCTCGAGGAAAACAGAAATTTCTTCTCTACAGTAAGCTGATCTTTCTTTAAAAGGGATCCATTTTCAGTGCTTTAGTGAGACTAGTAAAAGACAGAACTGCAGCTGCCTGTGCTACAAGAAAACAAAAAACAACTACAGATTGGCTTTCAGGTTTGTAGGGGTGGGAAAGAGAGAATCCATATTCAGAACTGAACCTACATTAAAATTTACAAAACCCTTTCAGATCAACCTCCTGGAATCAAAATCATACTGCTTTACAGACATTAATGTTTCATCAGATATTATGACCTTGACTATTGCTTAGTCACTAGCTTACCTTGCTGTGACAAATACTTCTCCTGGAAATGGCAAGACTACCTGTTCATGTTCACTACCTTGTTCACTATTGTTCTAGAAAAAAGCTGTATGCATACATGTACTTCTCTATCCTGCTTTCAGTATATAAGGTGAAACGACTGTCTACCCTCACATTAATATCAGTATCTAATCAGTGACAATTCTAGCCTGAATGATAAAGAAGTCATATTTATATGCATATAAATATATAAGTATATATATATAAGTACATAAATACTTAGGAAAAGAAGTATGTTAATACTCAAAATGAAATACTCAAACTCACATCCCCTTAAGAGAAAACATGCTTTATAAAAACTCTACTTACTATCTCAGAAAGTCATATATTAAGCTAGGAACAACTTTATCGTTAAGAATTCAACTTCATGGGTTAGCACAGGTTTCAGCTGGTGAGCAAGTTATATCTTCATTTTCTAGATCAGGAAAAGGAAAGTGGAGGAGAGACTTTCTAATTTCACTGTTCCTTAAGACAGCCACTGAGAAATCTTAAGAATTTTTGCCATTACCAGACAGACATTATTCAGTGAGGTACTTCCCAAAACATCCTATGACTTCCAGAGAAAGGTGATTTTATCCAGTGGCCTTCCCAGAAGACGTATATAGTTTGATGGCAGGAGAGGCAGCAGAGAAGCAAAGAAGGCTGCTTTACTGCTTTACTCTTTTGGAGAGCAGAGTATCTTCGGACACATTTATTTTGCATTATCCTGGATTTTTTTGACTGACAGTTTAGGCAGTTTCCAAAATCAACCCTTCAGCTGAATACAAAGCTCAAAGAAGCTTTGAAATTGACATTCTTCTGCTCTGTATCCAGACGGACGTTGGTCTACTACAAAGTTTCTACCCTTTTTCAAAATAAGTTTGTGACTCTCAGATCTCTTTTTCTGCTGTTTCTAGTAACAAGTGGGCACATTGTATTTGTGATCTGCATACGAAGGCAGATAGCTGAATCCTTCTTAGGGTTACCTCTAATCCCCTTTCCTTTCGGTAAACAGCAGTTTCACGACTTCTTGCATAAAAAGATGTGTAATCCCATACTTTACAGTCTCTCTAAGTACGACGCACGGTATTTATACAGGGAAAGTACATTTTGGAGCCTAAAAGTTTTGATGGTATCTCTCTAGCTGATGAGATGAACTTTGCTGATGAGATGAATAAAACGAGTACAGTCATTTTAGGCAATCTTTGGAACATCTAAAAATCTATGCATGGCTGAATAAACCCATGGAGCCTCAGAGAATTTTATATCAGCCCAAAAGAAGAGATTTATTTTTCACTCTTTAACCAACTACTGATAAAGCCATAAATATAAAACACAGGTGTAACATGTTAAAATAAAAAGACCACAGAATTTTATTTTGATATATGTCCTATGAAAGGCTACTTAATTTTTTTCTTCAAGTAATTGTGCTACTTCCCTTTTTTACTTATAAAGCTGTCCTATCTCTTTTTGAGTTAATGCTGAATTTTAATTACTGTAATACACAATATAAATCAATTTTAACTTCGGAAGATTTCATAACTGCTGCAAAACATTCATACATGTACAGACATGACAAAATAAGTTCATGATTTTGCTTAGATCTTGTAAAGACAAAACAAAGATACCTGTGTTAAAAAAAAAAAAATTAAAACATTAACAAAAAAGGAGATTTGACCAAACTGCAACCATTAAAAATGCTATGAAGTAATTTGATTTCTCAGTTTTTTGTTTCTGCTTTGCAAATTTGCTTGCACGCTTGCCATGCTCCAAGTTAAAACTGTGAATCCAGGACTCACTGACTGTTTCCTAAACAAACTGGGAAGTTGTCATCAGGAAGCATCTGCTTCTCTATTGCTCTCATGTGAAATAATTCTTGTGCTGCCATAATGGACTATTGAGCAGATATTTAAACGCAATGTATATATTAGAAAAAAGATAAGCAGGAACTACCTATTCATTTATATTAGTTCCATCAGAAATTAGCTATCACTAAATTTAATTTATATATTGTTCTCAACCCTTAAGTATCCCCTAAACAAATTAAGTTGACTTGTTCCTTCTTAAATGCTAAATTCTTTAAATCAATAGGTAAGAAATGTCATTCTGAAGGAAAAATAACGTATTTGCATTGTTTTTATTCCTCCTGATGAAGGCATCAAGTTGAAAACCCCTGGTAACAAGTTAATCTGACAGCAGGAGAGAGTTAGCAGTGTGTTTTGGTACTCTTGGGTAGTGACTGTGCTCCGCAGGCTGAAGAGCAGCAGGAAGGCATGGGTTAAGGCAGGTCACCTTTGGAGGGAGGGCTCCAAAGGAAAGGGAAGAGCCAGGGAAGTGACAGATAGGGGGTAAACTGGGAAAGCAACAGAATTACCTGATAAAAAAGGGATTTTTCTCTGCTGACACCAAACATTTCCCCCTCTCCACCTCACCCCCAGAGGAGCCTTCCTTGCTCAGCCCAAACTCCCTTTGAAATACAGAAGCAGGCCCTACTGCCCTTTTTATGGGGAAAAGCGGTTTAAAGAACAGCAGGCTCCTTTGCTCCTGGATCACGAGCTGCTGCTGCCCTTCTCCCAGTTCCCATGTTCCTCTCTCTCCTCTGGCTGTCCTGACCCCTGCTTCCTCCCGTGGCAGACCAGCCTCCCGGGAATCTCTCCCTCAGGATCCCGGCAGGAGCGGGCTGCGAGCAGGATACAAGAGGGAGGAAGAGGTGACGCAGGCACAGTTACTGGTAATGCTGGTTTCATTGTGAAGGGGTTATGGGG